AACACCCGAGGAAGCAAGAATTCGATCGAAACATGGCCTTAAACACACAACAATTTAGCACTAGATCGGACGTTGCCACTCGACGAGTCAATGAGGTACACTCTTCTTCTCTTGAAAAATGTTTTGATGATCTTACTACTCTTGTTCGTCAATTGGCACTATGAAAAACCAAAACCATGAAGTCCTATGGCATTTGCTCGGTTATGGGAAAGTTAATCGATATGTGTCCAACTCTTTAAGAAGACAATGTTGAGCATGCAAATGCCGCAGATGGCTTTCAGAGGCGACCATAGCGTAATTACAATCCATTTTCTAGCAAATATAATCCGAGTTGGAGGGATCATCCCAACTTTCATTATGAAAATTCCCTAAATAATCAACCTACCAATAATTTTTAGCCTTACAAACAATAATACCCACCTAGACATGCAGCCCCCTACTCAAACATCCGATTCGGGTATGTCTCTTAAGGATATTGTTAAAACTTTGGCCACTAACACCGTGAAATTTCAGCAAGAGACGAAAAACAACATCCAAAATCTAGAGAATAAGGTCAATCAATGGGCTACCGATGTCAATAGACTTAAGACACAAGCATCGGGTAAGCTACCCTCACAAATAATAGCAAACCCAAAGGAAAATGCAAGTGCCATAGTCTTGCGAAGTGGTAAGGAAGTGGAACAACAACGGAAGGTCCAACCAGCACCACCGCAACACCATTTAGAGAAAGAAGAAGTGATAAAATCGACGCCTCAAAAGAAGGAGGAGGAGAACACCGAGTCTCTAACCCAAAGGGAATACACAATCGCTCCTCCATTTTCAATAGCATTAACCACCAACCGTAAGTTCAAGAGCAATACCGATTTGTATGAGACATTTCGGAATTGCGTGGTCAACATCCCATTTCTAAATGCAATCAAACAAGTTCCTCGCTACGCTAAGTTCCCGAAAGAACTATGCACCGTGAAGAGAAAACAGAGGCTTAAAAGAGGTGAGAAAATCAAGGTAAGTGAACGGATGTCGGCTATCATACGGAGGAATCTTCCCGAAAAATGCAAGGATCTAGGTATGTTTTGCATTCCATGCACAATAGGTGACGCGGACATTGAGAAAGCCATGTTGGACTTAGGAGCATCGATAAATGTAATGCCATATTCCATTTACATCACCCTTAAACCTTAGACTTCTTGAGAAAACGAATGTCATCATTCAACTATCCGATAGGTCTACTATTCATCCTAAAGGGTGATTGAGGATGTTCTTGTACAAGTTAATGAAAAACTAATCTTCCCTATCGATTTTTATGTCCTTGACATGAAAAATAAAATAATGACAATTTAGCACCAATTTTGTTAGGAAGGCCATTTTTGAAAATTGCAAAAACAAAGATTGATGTATATAGTGGCACCTTAACAATGGAATTTAATAGCGAGATCATTAGATTCAACATTTATGATGTGATGAAATACTCTTATGTTGATGGCCATGTGTATTCGGTTGATGTGATTGATTCTTTAGCACAGGATGTTTTCGAGATCGATGGCAAGGATGAGCTAGAGGTTGTTAACAATGAACATCTTGAGGAAGAGATCGCCAAGCTATAATTTAGCTTTGAATTGCGGGAAGCCATGGCGGATATGAATAATTATGAGGAATTAGAAGACTCTAACAATGTGCCATATGTTAAAATTTCAATACCCATCGATCGGCTTAAACCTTCCACGATGCAAGCTCCAGATTTGGAGCCGAAACCCCTCCCCAATCACCTCAAATATGTATATCTAGGAGAGAGGGAGACACTTCCTACTATTATTTCCAATAAGCTTAAGCGAGAATAAAAGGAAAGACTTGTGCGAGTGCTAAAGCAACACAAGACAACGAATAAGATGATTTATTGCTAAAATCAAATGAATCGGTCCCTCCACCTACATGCACCGAATACTACTTGAAGAAGGAATTAAGACAATTCGATAGCCATAGAGGAGGTTGAATCCACCTATGATGGAGGCGGTAAAGAAAAAAATCCCGAAGTTACTTCAAGCAAGAGTCATATATCCAATTTCGAATAGCCAATGGGTTAGTCCAGATCCACATTGTTCCTAAAAAGATGAGGATAACTCGTAGTGAAGAATCATAGTGGAGACTTAGTCCCTACTAGAGTTCAAAGTGGATGGAGAGTATGTATAGATTACGAAGGTTGAACTTTGTCACACTTAAGGATCATTTTCCCTTACCATTTATCGATCAAATGATTGAAAGACTAGCTAGTCGTGCTTATTATCGCTTTTTGGATGGTTATTCGAGCTATTTTTAGATTGCTATAGCCTCGAAAGACCAAGAGAAGACCACATTTACGTGCCCTTTTGGTACCTTTGTATATAGAAGGATGCCATTTGGAGCATGCAATTCACCCGCTAGTTTTCAACGATGTATGGTAAACATTTTCTCAAATTATGTAGAGCTCATTATAGAAATCTTCATGGATGATTTTACTCGTTTATAGAGACTCATTTGATAAATGTTTGCGTAATCTAACTTTGGTTCCGCAAAGATGCATCGATACGAATCTTGTTCTAAATTTTGAAAAGTGCCAGTTTATGGTGGAACAAGGAATTATGTTAGGACATATTGTTTCAGCTAAAGGGATAGAGGTAGACAAGGAAAAAATTGATGTTATTGAGTCTTTACCTTATCCCATTAGTGTGCGGGAAGTTTTCTCTTTCCTTGGTCATGGAGGTTTCTACAAGTGATTCATAAAAGACTTCTTAAAGATAGCACAACCATTATGCAAGTCGGTGCAAAAAGATGTGGATTTCAATTTTAATACGGATTACAAAATAGCCTTTGACAAGTTGAAACAGATGTCGATTTCGGCTCCCATCATCCAGACCACCAAATTGGAGTCTCTCCTTTGGGTTGATGTGTGATGTTAGTGATGGTGCGTTGGGGCCGTTTTAGGCGAAAGGATAGGCAAAACTTCGTATGTGATTTACTATGCATCTATGATTCTAAACAAGGCTTAGAAGAACTACTTCACTATAGAAAAGGAATTCCTAGCAGCTTTTTCGCCTTGGAAAAGTTGTGATCTTACCTTCGGGTACCAAGGTAGTAGTGTATTCCGATCATGTCGCCATTCGTTATTTGATGACGAAGAAGGATGCAAAACAAAGGCTTATGCGATGGATCCTACTCGTCGGCGAATTTGACTAAGAAATCAAGGATAAAAGTGGTGTAGAAAACTCTATTGCGGACCACTTGAGTCGTTTGGTGCATGTGAAATTGGAAGAAAATGTGAGAGGAGAACTCCCCGATGAACAATTGTTCTCTATCGGTGGACAATTGCCATGGTATGCTAACCTTGTGAATTATTTAGCATCTAACATTTTACTTGTAGATTTTTCTAAGGGTAGGCGGGACAAGCTTAAAAGTGATGCTAAACACTATGTATGGGATGATCCATATCTATGGAAGCATTGTGAGGACCAAGTGATCGGGAGATGTGTTCTCGAAATAGAAATATCCTCTATCCTCACTTTCTCGTCACTCACATGCATGTGGAGGACATTTTGGAGCAAATAGAATAACAAGAAAGGTATTGGAATGTGGATTCTATTGGCCAAACTTGTTCGAGGACGCTTATTGATTCTACAAGTCTTGTGAGAGGTGTCAAAAGACATGTAACATCTCCCAAAGACATGAGATGCCTCAAACCCCTATCTTGTTCCGTGAAATTTTTTATGTCCGGGGCATTGACTTTATAGGCCCATTTCCTATATCTTTCGGTTTTATCTATATTCCGTTGGTTGTGGATTATGTTTTCAAGTGGGTGGAAGCAAAGGCCACCGAACCGATGATTCTAAAGTTGTTGCAAATTTCATTAAATCTAACATATTCTGCGGATTCGAATCCCTATGGTGATAATCGATGACGGAGGCACCCACTTCGCAACAAGACAGTTGGAGCCTTGCTAAAGGGATATGGTGTAACTCACCGAGTCAGCACCGCATACCACCCCTAGACCAATGGCCAAGCCGAAGTGTCCAACCAAGAAATCAAATCCATTCTTAAAAAGACAAGTAGGTCAAACCCACAAGGATTGGAGTCTTTGGTTGGAAGATGCATTATGGGCTTATAGGACGACCTATAAAACACCCATTGGAATCTCCTCGTACGAGTTAGTATATGGTAAGTCATGTCACCTTCTAGTTGAACTTGAACATAAGGCTTATTGGGCTATCAAACAATGTAACATGAACTCGGAAGGAAAATAGCCACCACATGAAGTTACAACTCCAAGAATTGAAAGAAATTTGAAATGACAACTCCAAGAATTGAAAGAAATTTGAAATGAAAACTCGCGAGACCTCTAGGATTTATAAGGAGAAAACTAAGGCTTTCCACGATAAAATGATATCGCGAAGGAATTCTCGGCTGGTCGGAGGTCCTCCTCTATCATTCAAAGTTGAAAATGTTTCCGGGAAAGTTAAGGTCACGTTGGTTAGGCCCCTTTGTTGTCACACACGTTGCACCATATGGGGCTATAGAAATTCGAGTTCGACCACATCTAAAACTTTTAAGGTAAATGGTCATAGACTTAAACCATATCAAGAGAATTTACCAATCGAAGGGGAAGATGAGTTGAACCTACACGAACTTGTTTATGGAGACCTATAAGCATCATTTACGTCGAGCTTTCGATGTTAAACTTAGTGCTCACCGGGAGGCACCCCGCGTATCTATCCATTTATTTTGAAGTTATTTGCATTTACTCGTCATTTTGTTTTAGGAATAAGCGTGGCCACGCAATTCTACATGCCCACACGGTAGAGTCGTTTTTATGTTTTTGATTTTCTATTGAGATCATCTTCTTCACCCATCCTTGAGGTTTTTCGGAGTTACATATTCTTTTTTTTTTTATTCAGGAGCAACAATGAAGAACTATAGGAAAAATGGTGGGAAATGACCTTAAGGGCACCTTGGTTCAAATTTGAAACAATAAGCTACCTGGAGGGTAGAATGGTAAAATCGGGGGCTTCTTTTGTTGAGTAAGTGAAACGGCACACTTCATATGCCTTCCCTAATTTGTACTTCATACACCGGATCCTTTAATCCCATTTTCCTTTTTTAAAAAAAAGAACAAAGTGTTCCATTTCCCCAATTCTCTCCAAAACCCGACGCAACCATCAAAAAAAATCGTCGACTAACCACCTCCATTTTCTCCCATTGTCGAGTTCACCCACTACTCCAAACCTACCTCAAACACTTCCCTTGCAAAACCTAGGTTTTCTCTTTCCCAAACCCCCTCATTTCGTATTCCCTATAAAACCGAAAACATTTTAGCGATCCTAAACCCTAACGTTGCTCGCTATCCCAAAATCCTTCAATGCAAACTCGCGTTCACTTAAGAAGGGGAAGAAATGCTACCTCGATGGAGGTTCGATCTCCCCCACCTCATCCTCCATCAAGCCATGACAGAGAAGCTTCCAATTCCATAATGGGATCGCTACTACCACCATCGGATCCGTTATCTTTATCGGACGTCGAAGAATCACACTACTCCCATAACTCCAGTTCCTTTTCTCAACAAGCACCCCTATAACATTACTATAGAGTATTCAAATTCAAATGGGAGGTTTTGTTACATTTTTCACTAAGGAACACAAGCAAAGATATACGGTAATTTGCAACAAAAAAATTACACCTTGTAAGTATATTCATCACCCAACGTTGATTCAATTAAATGTTGTTGAGGAGTTTGACAAATTAATTGATGATATGGGATGGCAATCTTACACTAATATTAACTCGCCCTACATTTGTTGATTTAACTAGAGAATTTTATACAACTTTCGATTTGAGGACCCCGATATATATCTTATTGGTGTGGTAAATTTTTGGTTGATGGGCCAGGATTTTTCTTTATCAATAGCTGAATTCAATGTGGCCCTAGGATTGATTACCTCAGCCCATTCACGAGCCTTTAGGTTTGCTGAATCTATGTATGACTATTCATTTCATTTCATTCCTGCTATCATTTGGCCACAATAGGCCGTAGGTACCAAACCTTACGGACCAAACCATGCCAAAGGTTCATACCTAAAATGCCCCATTATGAGACTTTTGTATAGATTTTTGGCCTTTAACTATTCAGCCCGCAAGGATGCTGCCGGCACACTTGTCTCATAAGGAAATTTTCTTATTATGGTGTGTTTCTAAGGGTGAAAGGTCAATTTGAGTTATTGGATCCTCCATCGGATGCGTTCTATTATACGCAAGTCTACAAAACCTTTGATTTTGGGCTCGTATATCACCCAACTTGCTATTAACTTGCGTGTCTTAGATTTACAAGACCATAATTTGCATGCTACTTGTACGATAGAACCACTTGATCTCCCTTGTTTAAATAGGGTGGGACTCTTAGTGCAACTAGAACCTTAAAACTACTCCTTTGTACCTCCAAGACCTCGCTATTTTACTTGTTCGGCATACCAACAAATAGGGCCCCGATCCTCGAAGTCGTGCATCTCACCTACGTTCTAGCAGACCCCCATAAGACGAAACAAGACCTTCACGACCTTACGTCATAGAAGACCCAATAGCGAGCACTAGACAATCATTTGGGACGTATCGAGAATAATTTACCGGCCTTTTTCGAGTCCCAAGGATTTGTACCACCCTATCCGTCTACTCCTTAGTGCTCGACACTCACCCACCACTTGGAGAAGTTTTCTCAACCCTTTTTACCTTTTCTTTTCTTTAGTTTAGTTCTTTAGCTTTATTCATTTGCACCTCAATATTTTTTGCTCTCCGATATTACTAGATTGGTACTCTCCCACATTGAGGACAATGTGTTATTTAAGTTTGGGGGAGGGATGGGATTATATATGCTTTGATTACTATGATGTCCTCGTTTTCATGAATTGTTGATGCCTTGTGACAATCTGCTATTTTTGTTTCCTCACTTAAAGTCATGATTGGTCCCTTGCAAGTCTGCCACTATATACTCGATTTTAAAGTTTGAATCATTGTCATTCTCGATTGCTTTTAAAAATTTGAGATAATGCATATCATGGATAGAGAAATAGCCAAGCATAAAGCAACATGGGCGGCGTGGTCGACTTAACTTAAAATGTACCTTCTTGATCGACTATGATAGTTTCACCTAAAGAAAAGCATACAACTTAATGAGTTCTATAGCCTTGTGAGTTTTGAGCCTTAAGATTGACTAAATACATGTCAATCCCTATTTTGTTGTTGTGTGATGCTCCTCTACTTAAGTATATCTCTAGAACTTGCATTGAACTATTTTGAGATTACATTGATGTGTACGTGCATAAAAAAGATAAAGGCCTTATTTGTTTGAGCTAGTTTTAACTTAAAAACCTACCAATGCTTATATCCCTTGTAAACTCTTTGAGCCTTATAAATTTTTTTTTGGTTCCGTTGCCTACATTACAAACTCCCAGATCAAATACAATTTCCTCACCTAATCATAAATGCTAGCAAGGTTTTTAAGTCGACTACAATATCAAAAGAACACTTTTGAAGTAATTTCATACTTGGGAATTTTTGAAATTATTAGTATTCTTTTAGCTATAGCCAAAAATTAATTCGAACCTCCTATCTCATATCCAGTTAATTCATTCAAAAAAAAAAAAGAAGAAGAAGAAAGAAGAAAGATAGGAGGCGGTAGCTTTTCACACCAAAGAAGGATTCCTGTAAAGATAAGTCAATGCTTGAAAAGTGTTAGTTGTTACAACTCTATTTCATGAGTAATGGTCAAATTGCCTTGCTAATATTTGTGATTTCTTAACCTACATAATCGTACTTCATGCGTTAACCTTCGACCTCGTTACAACCTTTGAAAAGTCCTTTTGATTTATGCATGTAAATGTCGCAAGTAGTGAAGATTTGGTGTATTTACGAGCCTATGGCAGAATACTTGAGTAGATGGAAATTGAGCGCAACACTTTACCGAATAAACACTTGAGTGAATTGAGGGATAACTGTGAGAGAATTTGTTGAATTGCTATGCTTACTTTAGAATGAAATTGTTAGGTTGATCGAGCATGCAAATTCTATTATGAAATTAGATTTGTGTTATGTTGCTGAAATCTTGGCTGAAACTACATCCATGGCATGTGTGATCTTGAATGTATTAAGGGAGAACCGATTGTGATATGCTTCTACATTCTGTTGAAAAGGACATACTTGAGGACAAGCATGATCTAAGTGTGGGGGATTTGATAGAAGAGTAATTTCATATGATTGGACATCTCATTTAATTATATTTTATGTTTTGATATTATCCCAAAGTGAAGTTTTAATGCCTTTTTATCGCGAGTGCTAAATTACCGAAGTGGGAACAAATGTGGTTAAGAAGGTTGTTTTAGAGCTCGCTTGGTGAATATAGCATGGGGGTGTCAAAATGTGTGGGCGCGCGAGTGCGAGAAGATAGTCCTAGCTTACAATAGAAGAATGCATGGGCACGTAAAACTACGTGGGCATGCGAAACCCGATCCCGACGAGCAGAGTTCAATTAGGAAGCAGATTTTGTGTGATCTTTTAGTTAAGGCAGCCGCTATCTTTAAGGAAAAAGAGATCGAATCATATCTTTTTTCCATATTGGAGAGAGAAAAAGGAGCCTATAAATAGAATAGGAGACCGACAAATTAAGGGCTCGAATTTTGTAACCCTAAACGAAATTGTTCTTTTCCCTTTCTCCGAATATTTCGGCCACCATGCTTAGGAGTAGCTAAACTACCTTTCCTTGGTGAAGGAGCAAAATCTTTTGGAAGGAAACAATTTTTGAGGTGCTTGTTTTTAATATTAATTCAAGTTTAATTCATTCAAGTATTGAACTCCTTTCTACACTTATTTATATGATTGTTTGGTTTATTTGCTAAAATGCGCAGTTAGTTTATAGGCTGAAACGATCTTAAGCTATGTTAAATATTGGATCCATAATTGTTCAATCACTTTAACTCGATAGCAACTAAAAGTATATTGTTTGCTAGGTCAAGAACTCACAACTTTTAGGGAGATTGTTCAACTTGATTAAATATAACTACATGTGTTATGTTGACTTACGTTGTTGATCTTTCTAATACCTAAGGCTATTGTTTAATCAAATCTTATGATCGTTTCTAGGGTTGTTAAACCATAAGGGTTGATTGGAATACATGTTTTCAATTAGCTAGACATAAGAAAAGATTGGTTTAAATATCCCAACAAATATTTGAATGATTAACTGATACTTTTAGTGCACCGATGATAAATCTCAAATTCCAAAAGAGGATGTATCCTAAACCAAGGTTTGTTTCAGATTGTTAATTCTGTCTAATTAAATTGTTAAAGTTTATATTTTTGTTTTTTTAAATTTCAGAGTTGAAATCCTTCATAACCAAAGCCCCATTATTTACTTATTGTTTTAGACATCCGTAATGACTAACGAATCAAGTTCCTCATCGGATTGATCCCTACTCTACCTAGCTATATTTATTTGTTTTTACAGGAGTTTAGGAGTTAATTTGGGTGCTTGCAACAACACTACCACAATCGTAGCCCTAAAATTTGGACGAAAAACGGTAAACAAGAGAGGAAGAGGAAATGAAAAGAAAAAAAGAAAAAGAAAGAAAAGAAAGAAGGGAAAGCATAACCAACCTTTAGGAAATTCAAGCAAGGTAAGTAGGTTACATTTTTGGTTGATTAATGTCTTAAGTTATTTTTTTAAGTTTTTTTTTTTTTTGTGTTTGTTTCATGGGTTTGTAATATTTTTTTATGGATTGCTATGGTTGTTTGTGTTGGTGTTAGGGATTTGTAAATTGTAATGGATTTATATGTTTCTGTTGTTGTGCAAAGCTTGTTTGATAGGTTTAAATGTGTGGATGGGTTGGAAAGGAAAAAAAAAGAAAGAAAAACGGTATGGACCGAATGGATTGAACTTAACCTAGGTTTGGTAAGCTTAACTTGGAAAGAAAAAGGAATACACTTCTAGAGTTTCCATAGGCTAAAACCATTCGGCCAAGTGGGGAAAATGGGAAAAGAATTGATCTTTTAGGGAAATTAGGGACCTAGAATATCATGGTAAGCCAATTAGGAATGGGTTAATAGTTTAGGGTGAAAATAAATTCACTAGACCAAAAAAAAAAAAAAAAGAAAAAGCAATCCATGACCATCTTAACAACCCATTCGGCCTAACTAAAAGAAAAATAGGGTTTTGGACTTCATTAGGTGAATTGGACAATTGATCACTAAATTTGGGTTCCTTGGTGGACCTTAAGTTTTAAATCTCCTTGGTAACTCTTCTTAGTATGAGTTGGTAAGTCATTAAAAAGGAAGTGACCAAGAAATGAAAAAACAATTTCTTGCTTATTTTTGGACCATTTGGCCTAGGAGAGAAAATGATTAACATTGAATCCATTTTGTATAAGTAGAGATCAAGAAGTGAAGATGAACGCAAGTAGAGATTAATGATTACAAGGCATATAAATAGGGTAATGAAAAAAGAGAATTCAAGAAAACAATTGAGATTAAAACCTAGACCCTTTATGAGTCGACTTCAACTACTAAGATTAAATGTTCGGACTAAGC